CAGGAGCCTTACAGTGAGGTCTGCCCAAGCTCCTCTTTCTGTCTTGACGTCTAGCCTCTCTTGGGCTTAAGTCATGTCAGAATCTAGAAAGTGGTAGTGCCACATTGCTTTGGGTGGCAGTCATGAAAATGCGCCACTCGGATCTTCAGCTGCAGGGAGTTTAGTTGACCAAGGAGCCCGGGTGCTGTGCATTGGTGCTGTGGCCACACTTCTCATGGGCTGCTCCCCCTTCACTGAGCACTGAGCACAGCAGGGGCACTAAGACAGGCCCATTCCTGAGAGATGCAGGCCTGCTCTGGGGGCGACTTTAGCTCAGGGACTTCTCTTGGCTTGGCCGAATCCTCCTTAGAATCATGATGTAATCTGAGACTTTGCTCATCTGACAGTCCTTCCTTCCCTCTGTCCCTCACAGAGGTCGGACCCATGTCATGGCTTGACAGCTCTGTGCTTCTCTGGCTCGATTCTCTTTTTCTTTTTACAGATGTTTCCACAAATAAAGCTCATGTATATCTAATCCCACCTCAGGGTCTGGCTTCTTACAGGACCTGAACTGATGTGCTTTGGTTTTTTAAACCCCTAAACTCAACCTGGCAGTGTGTATATAAAGCACCTGGCATGTACTGGGTTATTTCTCTTTTCCTCTCAGAGTGTGTGAAGGTGTTAATGGTGGCTATGCCGTGAGGCAGTTTTGAGTGACAGCAAAATGGACCATGCTGTGATCAGGAGAATTTGTGCCTACCTGGAAACTATATATCCTGAGTTCAGAGAGGCAGAGGCACCCCCCTAAGGAAACACAGCTCATTCCCAGATGCCCAAATGTATACCCAGTGATGCATGGAGTAGGGGGTCAAAGTCAGAGTGAAGAGATGGGGTCAGCATGCAGTGTGGGGCAGGCGTTGTGCATGGGGAAAGCAGCCCCTTCCTGCCCCTCCCAGCTGGCTTCCCACACAGGTCTGTGTGTTTTGGTGCCATGGCAACGGGTCGTGAGGGCTGCCTGTGGAGAGTGAAGCTTCACCTTAGGACACTGTGGGGAACTAGATGCATCTAGGAGATACCAAGTCCATGACCTCTGGCCTCCCAGCTTTGCTCCAGCCTGGAGACACCACCCAGCCTAACCAAGCCTTTAGTCATCGACAAATGCCTTTCTCTGTTCACACTGCCTATCCAGCCAGTCGGTTTCGATTAGCTCTGATTGGCCACACTAGCTCTGATTCTGGAATGCTCTGGGTTTTTTTTTTTTGTTTTTTGTTTTTTGTTTTTGTTTTGTTTTATGTTTGTCTGTATCCTCTATATATCTCAGGGCCAAGTTCCAATCTCACCTCTACCTGGAAGCCTTCCCTGATTTCCCCAGTCCACAGATCCTTTCCTTCTTCTGTCTAGCAGTTACTGTACTATCCGTCGCATTCACATTATAACATTTGGACTTTGCCCCAATCTAATTCAACAAGCTCCTAATATGTGCTAGGCACGGTGCTAAGTGCTGAATGCTCACGTGTGTGTCTTGGGGCTAAGTCTATCCCATGCTCATTAGATTTCAGCAGACCCTCTAGCAGCACTGGCTTTAAGGCCAGGAAGGACAGGACAGGACAGAGGTTGCAGCTTAGTAGAGCCTTGACTCAGTCCAGACAGGTCACTGTCTGAGTCTTCGTTTTCTCAGCTATAAAAAGAAGATGATAGTACCTACCTCACCAGCTTGTTTTGAGGACAAATGAGGTAATATATGTAAAGTACCTCACACAGTGCTTGCTCAACATGTTCATTCTTTGACTGTCTCTCCATGCCGACCTTCCACCCTGTAAACCCCCTGAATCTAATGAAATGAAACCATTGTGTTCTCCTCTTCCTCTTAGGACTGCTCAAAGAACTCCCTGTTGGGGGACCTGGGTGGCTCAGTCAGTGAAGCTTCCGACTCTTGATCTCAGCTCTCAGCTCTCCTCTTGATCTCAGAGTTGTGAGTTCAGGCCCCGCATCAGGCTCCATGCTGGGTGTAAAGCCCACTTCAAACAAACAAACAAACAAACAAACAAACACACATCCACCCAAAGAACTCACTGTCCTGGGTTGGTCAACTTAAATAAAATGCTCAAGATCCAGTATTTTCACACACTTTCTCTCAGTCAGTCCTCCATCAGCTCTGGGACAGGAGGTAGTACTCCTGCCTCATCCAGGACTCAGAGGCTGAGCACCCCCAAGATCACAGAGCTAGGAAGCAGTGGAGTTGGCTCAGAATCAGGCCTGAGACAGAAAAGCAGCCGTAAGTAGACAGAGCCCGTGAGTGAGAACATGTGATACTGTTCTGCCCAAGATATCACTTCTGCCCAAATAATTCTATAAATGCAACATAATGCCAATCAAAATCACAACAGGATTTGTCCCTGTGAGTGTGTGTGTGAAATTTAACAAGCCAATTCTAAAACTAATGTGGAAGAAGGATAACAGTTGGAATAGCCAAGAAATACTTGAAAAAGAAGGACAACAAGGCGACATGCCCTATAGATAATAAAACACCACCAAGTTGTGTGAATTAAAATGGTGGTGTGCTGACATGGGACAAGACGTGAGGATCAAGGTCACAGAACAGAGTGTAGGAAGGGCTCTTGTATAAAGAGGAATCCGGTGTGGTAAAGTGGCATTGAAAATCAGTAGGGAGTGGCTCAGTCAGTCAGCGCCCACCTCTTGACTTCAGCTCAGGTCATGATCTCACGGTTGGTGGGATTGAGTCCTGTGTTGGGCTCCACGCTGACAGCCGGAGACTGCTTAGGATTCTCTCTCTCCCTCTCTACCCCTCCCCTGCTCATGCTCACTTTCTCTCTCTCTCTCCCTCAAAATAAAGAAATAAACATTAAAAAAAATAAAAATGGTAGGGAAATGATGCACTCTTCAATAAATTCTGTGGAGACAATTGGCTATCCTTGTGAAAAAGCAGAAAGTTGCTTCCTGCTTTATACTACTCACTAAATAAATTCCAGATGGATTAGAGAGCTCAGAGTGAAAAAACAAAGCTATAAAACTATTAAAAGAAAATATAGGAGAATTTGCTTATAACCTTGGGGTAGGAAAGGCTTTCTTTAGCAAGACATAAAACACAGAAACCATAAAGGAAAAGACTGCTAACATTGATTATGTCCCAATCTGAAACTGCTGAATGACAAAAGACACCATAAATACTGTTAAAAGACAAGTGACACACTGGAAGGAGGCATCTGCAAGACAGAAAAAATGGAAGGATTCATATTTAGGATATGTAATGAATTCCCACAAATAAAGTAAGAGATAAACCACCCTAGAAAAAATGAGCGATAGTTGGTAACAGACAGCTCCCCTCGGAGGAACTGCAGATGGCCAATTAAGTGTCTAAAAGGCTCAGCCACTCTAGTCATCAAAGACATGCAAGTCAACCAATACTGAGTTAACATTTTTCACCCATCAGATCTGCACAATTTTAAAAAGATTCTCAATAGCTACCATTGGCAACAATTTAAGGGCAACAAACACCTCTTCCGCTGTTGGTAAGAATGGAAGTTGTCAGGGTGTTTATAGAGCGTGGTCTGGCAGCGCCTGTGAAAATGCACAGTGTCCAGACTCTTCACCACAGCGATCCCACACCTCTGCCTGGAGAGATGCTCCAGGAGCATGAAGACACCCGCCCGGTCCCAGGGGCCAGGATGGCAGTGGCAGAAATGTGAACAATCAGAAACAGCCCAAATGCTCATTAATAGAGAAAGAGCTAGATACATTTCTAAATATCCACGTTAGTGATGGTTTTCTGATGTTCAAACAGATGAAGCAGACCTCTGCATCCTGAAGTGAAAAGGTCTCATAATGAGAGAGAAGCAAGTCACAGAACAATCTGGCTCCATTTATGTAAACACAGGCACTTGCTTTGAAACTATGTGCATAAGTAAGAATATTCTGGAAGGGTGCATACCAAACTGACAATCCTTGGGGAAGGAGGTAGGATTGTGTAAGAGCAAGGTGGGCTTTATCTGAAACATTTTCATTTTTTTTTACAATGAGTATGTATATATGTATTACTACTCCTACTACTCCTACTAGTACTAAGTTTAAAATTACTAGAAAGACTGGATTTATTCAGTGCCCAGCAGTTTGTGTCCCTTGTGTTCAAGATTGAACCTGCTGGTGTTCCTCTTGCTCAAATCCCATGCCTGGTTCCTGACTGCACACATCACCCACCCTTCTCCAACTCCTAACACTGGGCTCCTTGTCTGAATTCTCAGCCTATGCCATTTGGTCTATCGTAGTCAGGAACAAAGGGGAATTACTCATGGCCCTTGCTCCAGAAGAGCACATGGTCCAGTAAAATAACTTCAGCAAAGGTGTTTTGGGGAAAAGCCAGGAAGGCTTTCTAGAGAAGGCGGCATGTGAGCTGAGGCCACATCAAAAAAGATGGATCATTTTTTATCCTACCCCACAATACATGCATTATACTAAAAACTATATAACACCATGGGCGTCTGGGTGTCTCAGTTGGTTAAGCGTCCAGCTCAGGTCGTGGTCTCACAGTTTGTGAGTTCGAGCCTCACACTGGGCTCCGTGCTGACAGTGCAGAGCCTATTTGGGATTCTCTCCCTCTCCCTCTCTGCACCTCCCCCACTTGTGCGTGTGCTCTCTCTCAAAAATGAATAAACTTAAAAAAAAACCTACATAAGACCATTACAGAAATTTTGAACGACAGAGAGAAAAAAACACTACCCATAATCCCATCACCCTAAATCAATGACTTTTGTGAATTCCCTTCAAGTCTTTGTCCACAAGGCAGACATAAGTGTAAGTATTGCTATGGACTGAATTGTATGCTACCAAAATTCTTATGTTGAAGCCCAACCCCCAAATGTTGTGCTACTTGGAGATGGAGCCTTTGGGAGATAAGATGAGGTCATGAGAGGGTTGCCACATGGTGGGATTAGTGCCCTTATAAGGAGGAGAAGAGACACCAGAACTCTCTCTCTCTCTCTCTCTCTCTCTCTCTCTGCACACACCTAGGAAAGGCCTTGTGAGAACACAGTGAGGAGACAGCCATCTGAAACCCAAAGAGAGCTTTCACCCTCTGGACCCTGCCAGCAACTTGACCTCTTGGACTTGTAGTCTCCAGAACTGTGAGAAATAAATTTCAATTGTTCAAGCCAACCAGTCTATGATATTTTGTTATGGCAGCCTGGGCTGTCTAAGACAAGTATGCAGTTTGAATAATGTATTTGATTATATGTATTTTTTTAAGGTTTTTTAAAAATCTATTTTTTAAGTAATCTCTACACCAAACGTGGGGCTTGAACTCATGACCCTAAGATCAAGAGTCACATGCTTTTCCAACTGAGCGGGGGGGGGGGGGCGCTCCTATATGTTTTGTTTTTTAACATAACATTATATCATAGTCCTTTTTTATATTACTAAGTGAAATTTATAACGATCACTTTTAATGGCTGTGCAATATGCCATGAGTGTACTATATGATTTAACTACCCATTCCCCTATTGGTGGATCTTTAGGTTGTTTCTTACTTCTAAAGTTGCAAAGAACAGCCTGGAGCATGTAGTTCCCCCCACCCCTTGGGTTATTTCCTTGGAACAAATAAATTCTCAGAAGTGGAAATACTGGGTCAAAATTTATGAACACTTTTATGGCCCTTGAAACATGTTGCCAAATTGCTTCTAAAAGTATAGTTCCAGAATACACTGAGGGCTTTGTTAGGCAAATATGAGAGGTATAGAAATGGGATGGGGGGGTCCCAATTCCAGGAAACAGCATGTGTAAAGGTGCATGGACTGGGACAGACTTGTGTGATTTATCCTTTGAATGCCATGACATGGCCAAGACGGAGAATTGCATGGCAGATTCTGTTGGTGGTAAACCCAATAGCTTTTTTCAATCTCCTTCTTACTTGCTCTTCTCTCACCATAGAAGGTAAAAGCCAGATAATCTGCTTCCCAGCTTCTTTTTCAGCTAAAAGTGACAACATGGCTCCATTCTGTCCAAAAACATGTAAGGGGAGGCTTTGAGAAGAATTCCTTCCTTCCTTTCTTCCTTCTTTTCTTCCCCCAGGTCTCTCCCTTCCTTTCTCCTTCCTTGCTTCTTACTTTCCTTCCTCCCTCCCTGCCTTCCTTCCTTCCTTTCTTCTTCATTTTCAACCTGCTTATCAAATCTTTCAACTGGGAAGCTAAAGGTTTCTGATTTCCTGATTATGGGAGGAAACGCCATTGGTACCATCTCTCCTTCCTTCTTTCCTTGAATGCAGATGTAATGTGTGGAGCTACAGCAGCCACATTAATATCATAAGGGCAGACAAGCATGAGGACAAAAAGCCAACATAGTGAGGGTGGCAGAAAGGCAAGACAGAAAGAAATTGGATCCTTGATAGTACTATTTAAGTGGCTAATTAATACCATCAACCACCTACCTCGAATTTCCTGTTTTCTGGGAGAAACAACCCCTTATTTGACTAAACCATTGTTAGATTTTCTGTTGCTTGTAGTCAAATGCTTCCTAATAGATCTAGGACTCTACCACCGTGTCCTATCTCCTCGGCACCTGGCATTCAGATTCTAGTCCTGTTCCACTAGAGTTCAATGCTGTCTCTTGGAATTGGAGTGGTGGATTTTTGCAGCCCGGAACATTTACTGCCTGCCCACCCACAGTCTGGGTGGTATTCCCCTTCTAGCTCTGGGTGCTCCCAGTGGGCCTCAGACTTGGAGGCCTGAGCCCTGTTTGTTTTTTCAGGAGAGCCACCAGGCCAGGACCTTGTGCTCAGGCAATGCTGATTACTGGTGCCCTTTGAGGTCTCAAGAGAATCCTGAGCCAAGAGTCCTGGATTCATTCTGGATCTTTCCCTTATAGTCATACGGCCTTGGTCAAGTCAGTCTCTCTGAGCAGCAATCTCTTCATCTGTAAAATGGAGCCAACTGGGGTTGCTGGTAAGATTTAGAAGTGCAAATCTGGTAACATGGTAGGTGCCTGAGAAATGTCTTCTATTTGAAGACAACCAAGGCTCAGAGAGGAGCATCGAGGAGCCCAAATCATCATGTTGCAGAGTTGAGGATAGACTCAGCATGCCGAGTCTCCGTCAAGGTGTGTTTCTGTAGCCACGTGGCCTCCTCTGTGGAGGCCTGGTGCCTGGAATGATGGCACTCCTCCCCAGTCACTCAGAACAGAAAATACAGCGCTGGTTTGTATCCGGGTAGCAACTCAGTGTTCGCTGAGGCTGGTGCTTACCCCACTCCACAACAGGCGAGGGAAAGGAGCCTCCGCTTCTGGGCTGCAGGGCCTGCGGGGCCTGCTGAAACCTTGGGAGCTGGGTGCTGTCCCCAGGCCCCCCAGGCTAGAGCGTGAGCTCCCCTGCTTCCCACCAAGTGACCAGAGTCAAGTTGGCCTGCCCACGTCCCTTGCACAAAGTCTGCAGAACTGCCCCCAAGTCTCTCCTGCACATCCCCAGCTGATGATTTGAGGACTACATTCCATCAGCCAAAATTAGGACATGTGCTCTGTCAAAGGATTCTTTCCATGACTGAAGGTATTTATTTGAAATTTCTTATCAAGGAATAAAAATGAGCTCTGCCAGAGGTTTAATGAATCACCTTAATTGGAAGGAACACAAATATGTGCAAACGGCTGTTTTGGACACACTAATGATGTCAGGAGAGGTTTCTTTCTCAACAGCTAAGGGGTTGAAGTCTGAGGCCCGGGGATAGAAGTGGAGAGGTAGAAGGGGGTGGCCATGGGCAGAATTTACTTGCCTTGAACAAATTCTCCCAAAGTAGCAGCTTTTTAACATTTTTTCAAGGGGATATAGAGGCATGATGCTTAGTGAAACCAGAATGAAAAGATATAAATAGATGCAGTGTGAGAGCAAGTCCGGGGCCATGGAGAGCAGGTGATCAAAGGGTTGGCATGGTCGTTTTATTGATCTCATCCCTCCCGCCCAACAGCTTGCTGGCTGCTCAGGTCCCATACCGATGCCCACCCCAGACTGGCCTCTGTACTGGGGGGAGACCAGGTTCCCAGCCCCCATACAGAGTTTCCATCTATCTGCAAAGTCACCTGCAGCTTAAGAGAAATGAGGGGTGTGAGGCCCAGGATGTGGGCTCTTCTCACTGGAACATAGCAAGGTTTTTCTGATGCGGTTTCCACCTTTCCGGAATAAGGGTGGACTCCCCTGTAAGTCTGCTCATCATCATACCTGACAGGGGACACATAACTCATTCTCCGTCCCCAGTCTGTTCCACTTACCAGCCTCTCCGAGAAAGCCATGTGCTGGGGAGGCAGAGACCTGCATTCTGGTCCTGACACACCCCAGTGTCCCAAAGGGGAGGAGCCCATCAAGGGATGCTTGTCACCTAAGGCCAGGGGAACACTTGGGGCCCTGGGTGCAAATCCTTGTTCTGTGTCTTTCTGTGTGACCTTGATCAAGGTACTTAACCTCACTCAGCAACAATTTCCTCATCTATAATATGGAGCTAATGGCTTCTATATTATAGGCCTAATCACATATGCAGAGCACCCATTTCATTGTCTGGCACATAGTAGGCCATTGATAAATAGTGACTATTAGTGTGTAAAACCATAAAGACACATAAACGCATAAGGGATACCAACATTAATAATAATTATAGTAATTATCCCATCCTTCTTGTTCCCTCAGGCAGAAGGAAGCAAGGAGAGAGAGGACTTCCCGCCCCGATGCCTGGCTTCTCATGGGGCCTCTCACATTGCTCTTAGGCAGATGGGCTCTGGCTAATTTCCATGGCGAAATTCCTCGTGCACAATGCCGTTCGGACCCAGAGATCTGGCACGACCCTGTTCTCAGCTGGATAGAGTGCCAGTACCGCCCACTCCGTAACAGTCAAGGCCAGGGCAGGGGGTGCCCCTCCCCGTGGCAGCCACCCTCTTGCCACCGTTTGTGGGAGCCCCAGGAAGTTCCCTGTCCAGCTCTTCCAGCTGCCCCAGCTCCCACAGCCCTTGTGCATGACCCCTTCTCATCCCTCCTCTGCCCCCCACCCGGCCTGCCTGCTGGCATCGCACACCAGCAATGGCAGCAATGTTGTGTGTGTCCGCAGGGAGACCCAGAGAAAAAGCCCTGCTTCCGGCTCATTGTCTGCACTGTCTCCACGTGCTCCAGGCTGGGCAGGCGGGACTCCTGCTAGATGTCCTCAGCCTGGCCTAGCCTCGCAGCCAGATCTCTCTTTCCTCCCCCCACCTCCTCCAGCCTGTGGCGGGGGGGCGGGGGGGTTGGTGAGGGAGAGATCTTAATTTCTCCTGCTTCTAATCAGCACAGCTGGGAGAACCAGCAGGCAAGGGCAGGAGGAGGTGAAAGGCCATGGGCCTAATCTACAAGCCACCCAGCCACCAGAGCCCGGCTTCCCTCCTAACAAGCCATGCAGCAAACAAATTATCTTTGTTGTTCCTGGGAAATCTGTAAGTACTTACCCGTGTAATTAGCATCTGTGCCTTGTGCCGGCAGTTCAGGTGAACAGGCCACGGCTACCCGGTGCCAGGCCGCCTGTAATCAAAACCAAAGCGGCCGCCAGGGTGCTCTCGGGTGAGGACGATGTCAAACTCAATAGGGCCCTCACCTGCGATGGGGTCCCCAGGAGCTGGCGCACATTAGGGCCTCTGAAATGCAAGCAAGGGGGAGGGAGGTGGGCAGAGCCCAGCCTTTTCCTTAAACTGTCTGGCATCCTGAAGCCAGAGCACATGGAGGGCCTGAGGCCTGACCTACCGAGGCAGAGGCCCTGGGCCCAGGGATCTGCACTTCAAACAGCTGTCCAGGGGATCTGAGGTACAGCCAAAGCTGGGTGAACAGTGGATGTTCTCCAAATCCCCTCTGTTGGTAGAATGGTGATAAGTATCACTTACTGAATGCCTTCTAGGTGCATGGCCTTTATATATGAATATGTTATTTCATTTTTCATATCTTCAAGAAGGGTAGGACTATACCTTTTTCACAGACAGGATAACTAACTTGCCCAGAGTCACACAGCGGCAGGGCTGAGAGATAAATTGAGGTGTGTGTGCCTGTCTCCAAACCGTGTTCTGGCCCCCCCACCCCCACCCCAGAGTAATTTCCCACTTGAAGC